TCGCCTGCCAGCAGACCCTCGGGGGGCTGCAGAGGCTGAGCCGCCACGCAGCCGCAGGTGTTCGGGAGGCAGCTGTCCTCCCAGCAGGTGGGCCCTGGGCAGGGTGGCCTCCTGGGCTGTAGCTGCGGGCAGGGCCGTGTCCCCCCAGCCCAGGCTAGGCCGGCATGTGTCCCCTCCGACGGTGTCTTCTCAGGACCAGGGCCATGCCCACTGAACTTGGGGCTCCTGAGGGTGGCGCTGGGGCTTATGCTCAGACCAGAGAGCAGATTCCTTCCTCCCACCTGGCTTGGGGTGGGGCCAGTCCAGTGGTGGCCCAGGGGACATGCAGAGACCACCCAACTGGCTGAGAGTCTTCTTGGGGACTCTGGTTGGGCCACTTCACGCAGCTGGCAGAGTGACTCAGTCCCTCACCCGGCAGGGCCCCCCACGTCCCTGTAGGCCTCCCCTACCCCCACTCCTCCAGAGGCCCCCCTTGTCTTGCCAAGTCCCCCCACTCCTTGGCCTCTGCGCCCTCCCTGCCTTACCCTGGCCAGCAGCCCGACCCCTGGGCCTCCAGCCCCCTCCCAGATGGCTGTCCCTGGCTTCTCAGGTGAGGACCTGGGTCTGGGCTGGGGCGAGGGGGCCCAGGGCTGGGCTCTAACCGCCCCCCTTCAGCACCGGCTCGTGGACAGCACCTGTGGACAGTGCTCATGGTGTGCGTGTCACTAGTCAGGGTCCCTTATACAGAGCTGGTGGCCGTGGGCCGCACATGCACGCCCACGCAGTCACTGCTCAGGGCGGTCCCCCAGCACCCCCTCACCTCCCAGGGCAGTGGGGCCCAGTCCCTCTGACCAGGGACCTGGCCACTGTGGTTCCCCGCTAGGCCCAGCCTCTGCTCGGCCGGCGATAGGGACAGGATGGTCACTGCCCAGGGCCGCTCTGCCCAGCCCTGCCCTGCCCCAAGTGGCCCAGAGCTGTGCGCGACCGTCAGCGGCCTGTTCGCCCCGCCCTCCCCGTGCGCGACCGTCGGCGGCCTGTTCGCCCCGCCCTCCCCCGCCCTCCCCTGCCCTCAGCTGCCCGCTCTCCCCTTCCGTCCTAGGCCTACTCCGCCCCG